CGTTTGGTTTTTATCCCATACACCGGCTAAAAAAATTACTGGGCAAGAAAATAATTCTTTATCTACGTCTACATTACCTTTACTGCATTTTTTCTTTGGTTTTTCTTTGGTTTTTCTTTCTTTGGGATCTCAGTCACCGAAAAAAGTTATTTAATTAAAGTTTAGGTTTATCGGCTAAATCAGTTGTCTTGTCCGCCATATTTGTTATTGTTATTGCAACGTAAGCAGTTTAGCGGGTGAGTTCGGGCGAAAATCAGGTGAGTTCGGCAAAAAGCAGGTGAGCTCGACGACAAGCTCACCTGCTCTAAACCAATCAGAAATCCGCTTTTAACACAGGTATGGGATAATGTGACAAGTCACATGGGTCATGTGACAGGACGGATTGATATTGATGACATTGTAGTTTTGTACGGGATATAGAATAAAGTGTATACACGAGAACATTACATATGGCGACGAGAATGGGATAAAGAAAAAAAGTTTTGATTAGTTGATCCATCCATCCAGTAATAGTGATTCAAATATAAAATATATACTGTAGCAGTTTTGATTGTGGCAACTGCGGGTAAAGTAGATGTCTCGCCACTCGCTCCATTTGATCCAGTTTCTGATCCTACGTCTATAAGCCAGCGCTGGAAATCATGGAAACGTCGTTTCGAGACGTATTTGGTAGCTTTAAACATAAAAGACGACACACAGAAACGAGCTTTATTGTTATATCAAGCGGGAGAAGCAACACAAGAAATTTTTGACACGTTAGCAGACACGTTAGCAGGAAGCAACGAGTTCACATCAAGAAGGAGTTTTCCAACGACGAGAATGTTAACTATGGAGTGTCACAGGGAAGCTGCCATGGACCTGCTCTCTTTCTACTGTATGTGTCCCGGTTGTTTGACATTGTTAGTAGACATCTGCCCTCGGCCCATGGCTATGCTGATGATACTCAGCTCTACCTGTCCTTCCGTCCTGAATCTCTTGCAGCCGAATGTCAACCATTGTCGGCATTGGAAGAATGTACGCTGTCATACGTTCCTGGCTGCTTACTCATAGAATAATGATGTAAACGGAATTCTTGATAATTGGCACACGTCATCAACTCTCGAAAATTCAAATCGATTCTGTTAAAGTTAGAGGCGTAGATATCAAACCTGTAGAAAGTGTCCGAAATTTAGGATCCTGGTTCGACAACCACATGCCTATGAATACTCATATCGAAAAAGCTTTCAGTAAAGCATTTAGAGGATTGTACAACATTTGTCAAATAAGAAGGTTCCTATCGATGGAATCGACGCAAATCCTCATATATTCTTTTGTGACGCCTCGCCTCCTAGACTATTGTAACACCCTTTTATCTGATATCCCTCAGTACCAACTTCGACGACTTCCGAGTCTTCAATGACGCTGCTGCTAGACTTGCTTGCCAAAGTCCAAGATTTTCCCATTTTTCATCAATTTTAATAAGTCTCCACTGGCTGCCTGTAGAATTCCGAGTAGAATTTAAAATTGCCTTACTGGTCTACAAAGCCCTTAATATATACATGGCTCCTAGCTATATCTCGACATCATCATTTCCATATATTTTGTTTAGTTTTAAAGGATGTTTTTTGCTTTAGTA